ATTATTATGGCTATCTAAAATTATTTAACAAATACAAAAAATGAAGTTTTGGCATTTATAAAGAACGATCATCTCTAGTCAATATTCAAACACTGGAAACTACCAATGAAAGTTATTGGCTGATACTTGAATAATTAACATTGACCCCTTCTAACATGGCTAACAGCACTACGCTGCATCTTTTTTTTTTTTTTAAGATTTATTTATTTGAGAGAGTGAGAGAGATTGAGAGAGAGAGAACTCGAACAGAGGGAGGGGCAGAGGGGAAGGGAAAGAAAGAGACTCCCTGCTCAGCGCTCAACAGGGACTCTGCTTGAGATTCTCTCTCTCTCTCCCCCTGCCCCCTGTGCTCGCTCTCTCTGTCATAAATAACAAATCTTTAAAAAAAAATAAAAAGAACGCTCATCTCTTTACTTACCTGCCGTCATTAGACTGAATCTCTCTTGAAGGCAGGAAGTCTATGTCTTTTACATTATAGAACTTCCAATACCTTGCTTGGGGTTCAGAACCAAGTACATGCTTAATTAATACGCAGTGAATTGAATTTCATGGAACAGAGAACTGATGTTTAAGCTGAGCTTTGGAAGGTGCATTTGTTAAGTGGTTTATGGAGGGAAGGGCATTTGGGGCTGAGGGAGACAATCTCTGCAAAGACACGAGCATGCCAAACAGTGTATTTTCAAGGACTACAATGACCTTCCCTTGGCAGGTGTGCAAAGTAGGAGATGAACTCAGCACAGTAATCAGAGGCTAGGTCATGCAGGGGCCTGGGTCCCTGTTAAGGACTACAGATGTGACCCTGTAGGCAGTGGGAGCCAGCCGTTGAAGGGGGACTCCAGAGACTTAGGCTGGAGACAGATGGCCCAAGGTTGAATCCCACCTCTGAAATTACCTACCTTTGGGCAGGTTCTTTAAACTTCCTAGACCTCAGTTTCTTCATCTTTAAAATGGAGATTAGAATAGCAAATACTCAAGGAGGTTTTGGATAAAATGCCCCAGGAGATAATGCAGGTAAAATAGTTAACATAGTACCTGGCCCATAGTAATAGCTCAATAAAGTGCCTTTTGCTATTATTGTTATTGCTTTTACTATCACCAAAAGGTTTTAAATAGCAGAGTGACATGATCTGATTTGTATCTTGAGCTAAAGTCCAAGGCCAATCCCCACCATGAGATAAATACTCAGAACTGATGAAGTTCTTTCCTCTTCTTTCCACCCTTTTTTTTAGAAAAAAAGATGTATTTATTTATTTGAGAGAGAGAGAGCACGAGCAGGAGGGACAGAGGGAGAGGGAGAGAGAATCTCAAGCAGACTCTGTGCTGAGTATGGAGACCGACACGGGGCTCGATCTTATGACCCTGAGATCGCGACCTGAGCCGAAACCAAGATCGGTTGCTCAACCGACTGAGCCACCAGGTGCCCCTCTTTTGCCTTTTTTAAAATTGTTTTCCATGGTATTCTCTCAGACCTAAAGGATCCCAAACCTCTTTGGGGTTCTTCAGTTTCCTCTCCTAGCTTCAGCAGAGTGGTTGTTGGAAGGCAAAGCAAATGAAAGGATGAGTGAAATACAGCCTGAGGTCATGGGAGTCTTAGGTGGAGAAAACAGGAATAGTCATTCATTCAACAATCATTTGAAAAACATCAGGACTCTATGTAGGGACCTGGGAGGGAAGGGAAGAGGGATTCTAGGATCAACTAGCCTTAGGCTTCCTGCTGAGCAGGTTCCTTCTTTTTGGGGTATAGTGGGCACAGTCCTGGCCTTTAGAACCTCAGCTCTGTCATGTCATTTGTTTGAGCCTCAGTTGTAGCATCTGTAAAATGGGGATACTGATACTTATGCCTCATCTTCCCATGCCCCAAGATGACTTTATCATACACTTTCTTCTCTCCTCAAACTTCCAACACCCTCCCACCATAACCGTTTTGAGCTGATGGACTTGTTTCTTATTCTACTGAGAAAATAAACGCAATCAGAAAAGAGCTCCTTCACCCTCCTCCATTTAATCTACCAACCTACTGTAACATGTATCAGTCTGAACACACTGTCCCTGTTTCTATCCCTATCACATGTGATTTGGATCTCACTCTTTTTTGTCTACTCAAGGACTATGATTCTACAATTGTCATATCACTTTTCATATTTTCAGTTTCCCCCCACTCTTCCAGGGCATTCTCCTCAGCATACAAATAACCGAAGCAATATAGTCTCATTACTTCTCAGTTTTTCCCAGACTTTTATGTTTTTGCTCAGCTAATTGAAGTTAGATTTCTGTCATTTCCAATGGAAAAAGCCCTGATTAATACAGGAGACATAGATAGGTGCCTATGGAAACAACTTCTGTCCTTTTTCCCCCGTTGATCTTCAAGGGGTAAAAAGTTCCAGCTCCATTGAGTTCATTCTTGTTCTCCCCAGAGGACATGGAAACTTTAAATTGTCCATCTTTGTACTTCCTGTCACCAACCTCACAGCTCTCCAGGGATTTCCGACATAGTTGGGTGGATGTTTGAAATCCACCCTCACAATAGTGTAATAGGGACAGATAATTTTACATGAACCATTTAAAATTTTTCTCATGTTTGCATAAAAATTCCTCTTACATAGTTTTTCACAGATAATCTGTTGAAGAGGAGGATATTTGGCTTCAGAATTTAAATAAGAGACATAATAAAGGCAGTAAAATACGTGGGAGACACAGTGCTTAATATTGAGCAGTCTATATTTAATTAAATGATTAGATGAACTAATGAATGAAATGAATTAACAATTTGCAAATGTGTTGTATTCCCAGAGTTGGTTTTGTAGCTTAGTTGTTTTGAATTTGGGATGCATTCTCCCATAGAAACAATGTTATAAATGATACTTAAGTGCCAAGAAATCCCACTGAAGCCATTTACCCATAATATAGCAATAAAATGTAGAAAAGGGGGTGCCTGGGTGGCTCAGTTGGTTAAGCAACTGCCTTCAGCTCAGGTTATGATCCCAGGGTCCTGGAATTGAGCCCTACATCGGGCTCCCTGCTCAGCAGAGAGCCTGCTTCTCCCTCTCCCACTCCCCCTGCTTGTGTTCCCTCTCGCTCTCTCTCTGTCAAATAAATAAAATCTTTAAAAAAAAATAAAATGTAGAACAGTAATGGCATTATGTAAGAACACTTAAACAATTTTGAATACAAGTGCTTGAGGAAAAGTGACTTTAATTAGAAGGTGAGGTGGCACATGAAAAATGTTGTGGTGATTTCCAAGGGGACTTGTGAGCACTTTCAAGGATCATGGAGGCATTATGTCTTTTTTAACATCTATTTTCATATTAAAATGTATGCATTTTTCCCTTGGTACAATCTTAGACTATCAGCAGGATCTTTATTGTTTGCCTGGCAGGCAATTAATAACTGTTTCCAGTTGGCTGGAAGATGGGAACAAAGCAAGATGGAGAGTTGGGGGGAAATTTCTCTTAAGTAATTGAAAAAACAGTTGTAAGAGTGTCATAAACAGAAAACAAGTATGTATTATCACATGTCTCAGTATTCAGATAAAAGGAAAATGATGTGCTATGCTCTTGAGAGGCTATTTACACAGGGAGTAAGATCAACACAAAGAAAAAGCACTACCTGGTAAGACACCTTGGATGTCAATCAAGGAGATAGCTGTTTGGAGTGGATGGTGATCTTTGGGGCCAGGGAGGGGGAAGAAGAGTTTGAGTCTGGCCTTTGGAAGAGGGTTTCAGTAAGGAGAGAGTTGGGAGAGTATATGAGGTGAAATTAACTGAATGGTACTCATGATAGAAATGATAGAAAACACAGGAAAAGGAAGAAACATGGTGTGAGCATCATTCTACCCAAGAAGAAAGAATATGGCAGGGGAAAAGGATGCTGGATGATTTCCCTATGGAGGCCATACAATGGCTCAGGAAAGGTTGGTGCTGGCTACAGCCAACTCGGAGTAATGGCCATGGAGTCTGGCAGTCTGCCGTCAGAATTTCAGGTGTTTGTAACTCAGATCGTACCTTAATATACCTCAGTGTTTCTATAGCATTTGTGTAATTTTATCATATCCTGTCTATTGATTTTGGCAGCATGTTCTGTTGGACAAATCTTACTGATTCCTAAAGAAGGAACTTCTGAGACCCTTGCCTTTGGTTTAAGAAGACGTCATGTTCCATTTGCAGGTACTTCCCATTGCTCCCCCTCCTTCCTTCTCTTCTTCCTCCACCTTTCCTAGTCTGACCCTGACCAAGTCACTCATTCTCTGGGGCCCGTGTTCTAACCTCTAAACGAGAACAACTTTACTAGATTATGTATTTCTTCCAATTCTAAAACCTAGATTGTGAAATTTTCCAAAATGACAAAACACAACAAACCACGAGGACGAGGTCTGATTCTACTGCTCAAATCCTATCGCTCTGGTTTCCACAATGGCTTCTGAATAACACAGATGATTCACTTATCCATTGTTCTTAGAATTAGGTGACCTCTGCGCTCAGAGCTGTCATGGGGGCACTGGGATTTATCTAGAAAAAGTGGTGTGGCAAGTGTAGGCTCTTCCCTCCTTAAAAAAGTGGCGAAGGTCACGGGGACAAAATCTGTTCCCTCCTATCTCCTTCGATTCAAAAGTCTTCTGGGTAGGCGCAAGTAGATAAAGGCTTATCGTTCCCGGTTTGGGGCTTTGACCAGCCTAAGTATCCGGCCCCCTAACCACAGACCTCGACGAGTCCCGCGAGCACCGAGCCACTGAGCCGGCTTGAGGCTCTGCGGCTTCCCACGAGGCGCGGCGCGGCGGAAGCGGGGTCGCCACACTTCCGGTGGCCCGGCCGCGCGCTCGCCACACTTCCTGTTGATCGGGCTCCGCGGAGGGCGGGGCTGGGAGGAGGGCCGGCCGGCGGGCGGGCGGCTACGCGGG